TGTTAAAATTCATGAATCCCTCTCCGAAACAAAAAATATACTCGCTGGTGTACCTCAAGGCAGCGTCCTCTCTCCCACCCTGTTCAACATCTACATGAGTGATATGCCACAACCAAATGTTCACATGCTGGCATATGCGGACGATACAGCCTTAATAGCGCAAAGCTTTGAACTCGAGGATGCGACTAAAAATCTGCAAATAGCTATAAACACCCTAGTTAAATGGTTCAAGTCTTGGAATATAGCAATAAATACATCCAAGTGCATCGCTAAAATTTTTACACTCAAACGAATTAAAAGCTCACCGGAATTAACAATTAACGGAGAAACTATTAGATGGAACGACTCGGACGAACCGGTTAAATATCTTGGCATATTCCTTGACACAAGATTAACTTGGAAATACCATATACTCCAAAAAGTTAATCAAGGTTACGGAAAGTTGAAACAACTGTATCCCTTGATAAACAGGAGAACAAGACTTAAATGCGAAAACACTATTCTAATTTATAAAACACTCATTCGACCACTCGTTACCTATGCCTGCGTTGTCTGGGGAAACTCGGCTAAAACAAATCTTAATAAGGTTCAGGTTTTACAAAACAAAATACTACGCATAGCAGTAGACTCCGAGTGGTATATCTCTAATGATCAACTACACAACGAATTAAAAATTGATAGTATCACAGCCTTTATATCTAAAATGACTTCCCGGTTTCACGAACGCATACAATACACAGAAGTACTACAGCCATACAACCTCAGCAAAAAGAACATCCACTGTCGTCTTAAAAGGAAACTACCACAAGACATCTACTTGATTTAAAATACGTTAAATGTTACCATCCAATTTGACTTATGTTTATTATTTTGTAAGTGACGAGGTCCTTTTAGTTATGTAATGTGACATTTATTTAGTATAAGAAAAAGCCTTGTATAGTAATGTTAATTTACTGGTCTGGCAATAAAAGTACTTAAAAAAAAAATAAACAATTCTGGGAAACTATTTGATTGGAAAATATTTATGAAATTTTCATCAACTATTAATAAAAGCAACCTTTCTCCAATGGAAGAGTCCGCTCTGAAAGATCTCTTTTTGTTCTTGAGATATCACGTTTTGAACCCAACCGCAATTTCGGTTATATTTTAAAATTTTGTGTTAACTTTAGTAATTTGTGAAAACTCGATTTTTTGGAAAATGTTTATGAAATTACCACCAATTATAAACAAAAGCATCTACTTTTCAGTGGTGAAATTAGTTTTGAAAAATCACTTTTAGTTTTTGAGATACAAAGTTTTGAATTAAATCGAAATTTCTAGAAATTTTTAATGTTTCTTAGATTAAATTTAAACAATTCTGGGAAACTAATGGATTGGAAAATCTTGATAAAATTTTCACCAACTATTAATAAAAGCAACCTTTCTGCAATGGAAGAGTCCGCTTTGAAAAATCTCTTTTTGTTCTTGAAATATCACGTTTTGAACCCAACCGCAATTTCGGTTATATTTTAAAACTTAGTGTTAATTTTAATAATTTTTGAAAACTCGACTTCTTGGAAAATGTTTATGAAATTACTACCAATTATAAATAAAAGCGCCTACTTTTCAATGGTGCAATCAGTTTTGAAATATCGCTTTTAGTTTTTGAGACACAAAGTTTTGAATTAAATCGAAATTTCGGGAAATATTTAATGTTTCTTAGATTAAATTTAAACAATTCTGGCAAACTGATTGATTGGAAAATCTTTATGAAATTTTCACCAACTATTAATAAACGCAACCTCTCGTCAATAAAATAGCTCGCTTTGAAATATTACGTTTTAAACCCAACCGAAATTTCGGTTATATTTTAAAATTTATTATTAATGTTAGGAATTTGTAAAAAATCCATTTCTTGGAAAATATGTATGAAATTAACACCAATTATTAATAAAAGCATCTACTTTTCAATGGTGAAATCAGTTTTGAAAAATCAGTTTTAGTTTTTGAGATACAATGTGTTGAATTAAATCGAAATTTCTGGAAATATTTAATGTTTCTTAGATTAAATTTAAACAATTCTGGGAAACTGATTGATTGGAAAATCTTTATGAAATTTTCACCAACTATTAATAAAAGCAAGCTTTCTTCAATGGAAGAGTCCGCTTTGAAAAATCTCTTTTTGTTCTTGAGATATCACGTTTTGAACTCAACCGAAATTTCCGTTTTATTTTCAAATTTATTGTTAGTGTTAATTTTATAAATTTATAAAAAACCGATTTCTTGGCAAATATTTATGAAATTACTACCAATTATTAATAAAAGCATTTACTTTTCAATGGGAAATCTGTTTTGAATAATCACTTTTAGTTTTTGAGATACAAAGTTTTGAATTAAATCGAAGTTTCTGGAAATATTTAATGTTTCTTAGATTGAATTTAAACAATTCTGGAAAACTGCATGATTGGAAAATCATTATGAAATTTTCACCAACTATTAATAAAAGCAACCTCTCTTCAATGGAATAGCCCGCTTTGAAATATATCTTTTTGTTCTTGAGATATCACGTTTTAAACCCACCCAACATTTCGGTTCTATTTTAAAATTTAGTGTTAATTTTAAAAATTTGTGAAAAATCGATTTCTTGGAAAATGTTTATGAAATCAACACCAATTATTAATAAAAGCATCTACTTTTCAATGGTGAAATCAATTTTGACAAATCACTTTTAGTTTTTGAGATACAAAGTTTTGAATTAAATCGAAATTTCTGGAAATATTTAATGTTGCTTAAATTGAATTTAAACAATTCTGGGAAACTGATTGATTGGAAAATTTTTATGAAATTTTCACCAACTATTAATAATAGCAACCTTTCTCCAATGGAAGAGTCCGCTTTGAAAAATCTCTTTTTGTTCTTGAAATATCACGTTTTGAACCCAACCGCA